TTAAACCTAAATCTGCGACGAACTTTAGTAGTAAATCCAGTCGAGTATGATATCAGGTGGCATTAGCAGAATCGAAATGAGAATATACATCAAAAAAGTATATTACTGAAATTTTCAATTGATGCAAAAAAACTATTATTAAAACAGCCCTTAAAGTGACTCAGCCAATCAATAAATGCGCGGCGTTGACGAGTGACCAGAAGCAGCAAAACTTGAACCTAGATTTTATTAATAAGCACCATTAGCATATGGGACATTGCAGGAAAATATTGAAGGAAATACAACTATCCAATTTTTGTAATACTTTATTGATAAGCACCATTAGCATACAAAGGCATTACACGAAAATATTGAAGAAAACACAATTGTCCAGTTTTCACAGCAATACCTATCACAAGGAACCTAAATTTTATTGATAAGCGCCATTAGCATAAAGACATTGTAGAAAAAATATCGAAGGAAATACAACTATCCAGTTTTCAGCTAACATCATTTGGAACAGTTATTGGAAAAGTAGAACTAAGTGTCAAAAATCTTCTTGTTGATCCTGGTGAAAAGTGCTCCAGGAACCCAACAGGTATAATCAGCCATGGAGGCAGAAGTACACCAAACAGTAGAAATTGATGACAACTAAATTCAATCATGCAGTTAAAGAATCACCACACACCACATTCTGTTCCTCAGTGGTGGCCTTTTGCCTCTTCCTTCTTGTGATACTTTGCCTTGACCTGGAGAGGATGTGCAAGAAACATTAAGTTAGCCACCACCATGGAGCTTATAACAACCAAAGTTGTTTAACTTGTATCTTCAATAACAATTTTTGAACACTGGATCAAATAGTGCATCAGAAAAAAAATGACATGTTATAAACCAGGATTAAGCGAGAGGTTGAATCACGATCACAAAATAAATAAAATTCCAAGTGAAAAACGGTAACGTGGAGGAAAAAGGAGACGACACCACAAGTTGAAATTCAAATTCCACATCCACATATGACCCTGCAATAGAGCTCCACAAATTTTCATATCACAAGTAACAGGTTTCACATAAATCAGACATAATTCTGTAATTATTTGAAAGAATAATGTGAGGAAACACAAACAAAGTGCACAAAGGCTTTTGTCAATGCATGGTATGAGGAGGACCGATGTATCTTCTAGCAAGTAAAGAAGTTGTTTCCGTTACTTGAACCATCATCACCCATGTCATTAAGATGCGCTCTTACCTTGAACCAAGCTTGCCCTCAATGAACCTTACAGAAACAATAAAGAAAATTATTGCTTCACAGAATCCTATGCCAACAAAATCAAAATTTGCAGTAAAACTGTGCACCATAGCAATCAATGATGCACAAACTACCGAAATGGTCCCCTTGGTTGACCAGACAACCAAGAAGAACATTACCGAGCATAAAGCCTTCAGCACTTCGAAGGAAGATGCCTATTGATGCAGCTTTGAGTTTTTGTGAGTGAAGATTTATTTGGTGGACCTAAGGAAACAAGTAATTGGGCTTAGTACAACTTTTTCCACTTGGTTAAGCAATGTGGTGGCAATTTTTTGGCTGCCAGCAAACAAGAGCCCTAAGAAAATGATAGGAATGGCATTACAGCAGAGAAATTCCAACAAGAGCCCTAAGAAATTGGTAAGAACAGCATTACAGCAGAGATACTTGGCACATCATTAAGTGTTCAACTATTATAGCCTTGAAACTAAATTGAATAGGACCAATCAATTTTCAGTGATCCTGATTCCCTTGGCAGTTCACTAGCTTGACCTTTGTTCCAAGTGGGCTTTTGTTAGGGTTTTAATCTTACCAGCCTATAATGGATTAAATTAGCCTTATAGCCGGTCCCAAGTTAATGCAATGATAACAAATTCCAATCTATTTATCTATTTTTCATGAAAATTGACCTTCCCACAAACTGGCACAAAGATTTCTCATCAAAGAACAGTAACACGGATAGCATAGCATGACCATGGATAAAAGAGAAAAAGATGGCATTTGTAACAATCTCGTTCAGCAAACATTTATTTTATCATTCATTTGAATCGTGAAAAACAAAAACCAATCACTATGCTTATCTGCAAAGATAAAGTGCCCATATGTTCAAAGATAAAAGTGTCTACAAACTATGAAGCATCAATATGTGACTTCAGGTTCAACTATCAGTCTCGTCATTCTTTCAGGTTTGCTGAGGAAAACCAGCTTAATTTCTGAATCAGCCACGATGGTTATAGAATTTCAAAATACTAACTTGGTGTTAATCTCATCAACCATTTGTGTGCAAGTACATACAATCATACCTCAACAAGTCACAGATACTAACTGGAATACTCAAAGAACAACCATAAATTACATCATAGCTTAACAACATACAATACAACTGAGGCAGTTAATGTCCAAGGAAGCACAGAAAAGTCGTCGGTCCGACGACAGAGAGCAAGAATTTAGTACCTGGAGATACGATAGCTTGACGCTTCCATAGACGACACCGAACGCGAACGCCGAAGCACGAGCAACCTATTTAAGACGACCGCCGTAATTGGAAGTCATGGATTGATCGAAAGTGAAAGAGAAATAGAGAGGGAGGGAGGAAAAAGGTACGTACGAACGCGAGGGTGCTGACGCCAGAGTAAGGGCCGGGTATCGCCATGGAAGGAGCGGTAGAGGGAAAATGAGGAAAGGGGAAGAGGGTTGACGATGAAAACCCTAATGGCAGTAACGCGCCGCAAGCCGCCCTGTGTGTCGAACCATTGACTTCAATAAAGAAACTCTTGGGCGTTTCTTTAACTGCTTTTACAAATCTGCCACTTCACAATTTTATATTTGCCCCGTCAGAATTTACCACAGCATATAATATATTCTATGGTATATGTATTTGTGAATTTTTGAAGAAAACTCAATGTGCTGATACCACCGATGTATCTATAAAATAACTCAATGTCCTGAAAAAGGAGCCACTGTGACGATGGTCCTCGTAGGGAAGGGTTCAGCGAAGTTCACATAAACAGTGATAGTCTTCATACGATTAAAGAAGGGGACAATGTAACAGTGACTCTCATATGAGGAAATAGATAATGTGGCGATTGTGACTTTGTCATCCTCGCTTATAACTCTCACGCATAAGGAAAGGCCAACACGAGGTCACCATTGTTGCTCGTTGCATAAAGGCAAAGATCATAGCAAGTTCAATAAAAATCAAGGGTAAAATGATTATTTATAAGAACTACTAAGAAAATTAAAAAAAATATGAGGATGGGAATTTCTCAAAGATAAAGGTATTTTTTTTAAAAAAATTCACCCTATATTTTAAAAATTTAAAGGTAATTTATAAAAAATCTCCTTTTATTATAAAATGTTTTTATATTATAAAATTACCATATGGCACTCATTATTACGTATATACATTATCATTTTGGTTTGAGTTTTTTTTTTTTGTTAAATCAAATCGATTCGGTTCGAGTTAATGAATCGGTTTTGATCCACTAGCTCCTCCTCATCTGCTTTCTTTCACCTTCTCCTCCACCTCCACTTTATTAGCTTTTGTTGTCAATCGGAGTATTTGGAAGAGAAGAGAATCAAGGATCCGATCAAGAAGCATTGCGAGTTCATTAGCAATCCGATCTACTTGTTGATTGAGAAAACCACAAATAAGGAAATCAACGATGGTGAAGATGAAGAATCAAAAAAAAGGAAGGCGAAGGGGATGTCAAAGATATTGATGAAGATTTTGATTGAAATAGATTCATTCAAACAGTTTGACCCAAATTAGAGCTAAGTCCAAATTTGATTGGATAGGGTGATTCTAGAGTACGTAGTACATAAGATTTTGAGTTGGTACAATTAGATTCTGGTTGAATTTGAGTATATTTGACCAACGAAACTAGGGTTCAAACCAATTAAAAGTTAATTATAGTATAATTTTTTATATTGATATTGTTTAATAATTTCTAAATTGATGGATATATGTGGTAGCACCATTCCTAATGATATGAGTTTAATATAATATGAGGATTTGGATGATTACTATCAATTATAGAAAGATCATGTAGAATAGTAGTAATTGTTTTGGCCTTACCAACTTATACCGAAGTGATTAAGAGATCCTAGCACTTGAAAGGCACGATAATGACATGCATAGATCATGATCAGAAACGATCCTTCAGCTCTGCATCTTTTGCAAAAGGAGGATCATCCGTCGAGTCTGCAAGGAAAGGCAGAAACTAACAGTAGCAGGAAGCTTCGACCAGTAAAGTAATTATGATGTGTTATTTCTACGGAAAGATTGATCACATATTTGCATCTTGCCTTGACTGCTGACTATAAAAACACACTCACTGGCTAATGGGGCAAGATACAAGATTGGTTTTTCCGTAGAAATAACACACCACAATTATTTGATTGATCAGAGCTCCCTGATTGGTTTCTTTTTTTCTTTTTTCTTTTTTTTAATTTTCCTTACAGGCCCAAAGGATGATCTTCCCTTTGCATATGGTGAAAAGCTAAAAGGTCATTTCTGATCCTTGATTTGCTACATGCTATTATCATATCTTTCAACTGTTAGGGCTTTGTTACCCACTGGTCTTCTGAGGGGGGGATAAAGACCCCCTCAAGGTGACAAGCCCTCTGCTGCTCCATATGCTGGGCTTCACAAAAAAAATCTATCATATTTCATCATAGTATCGAATAGTAAAAAATTTTCTTTGCGAATTATCTCAGGGACATACCGATCATAAAAGGCTTTTCTAAACTGTTGCCAAGTTATGAGTGACCAAATGCAGTCATGCAGAGCATCTGCTTCCCTAACAGTCAACTCCCAAATCTTGTTCCAAGATATCTTCTGATGCAACTCTTCATTTTCTCTGTTAATTATTGCCTTCCAAATTACACCTTTAAACAATTTAGATTAGGAAAAGGATGATTTGATTGAGTGATATTGGAAAATAAAGAATCCATGTCAAGAATTATAATTAAAAAAATGATTAAAGATATCCCATGATTAAAGATTAAAAAAATGTAGATGTTATTTGGCATACGAATAATCTGATTAGAGAATACAATATACATAGATAAAAAGAACCAGAGGACTATTACATCCGATCCTGCACGGATAGAAATGAAATGTATTAGTCGTTGCATGAAAAGACTAACACAATGAGCATTCCTTGCAATTTTAGAGTTGAACTTAAAAGGTAAAACATCTCCTCACTCTCTCATCACTTGGAGAGAAAGGTTTCAGTCATCATCCTTGAACTCCCTGATGAACAGGAATAAGCATGTCAGAAGTCTTTACGCATGCAATTAGCAGAATCTTTAACATATGCATCATGTAGATCGAGAAAGTTGCATTACTATCATTCCTCAAGCACGAATTTTAACTCATTTAGCATTTATAATCGAGAAAACTTAGAATTATTTTTTGCATCTAAATTTTCCAGAAAGACATGCAAGTTTAGAGGAATTCGACAACAGTTAATTCATGATTCCTTATGCTGCAATATGCATCAACCATTAATACTATTTCATTAGAAATGGTAATCTTGTATAGAAACTCTTGAACTGATGATGCACTTAATCACAGTGTCAAGTTTCTAAATAGTTGGGAAAAATTGGGACAAACAAATATATCAAGAAAAGGCAAAATAATATTGAGAAAATACTCTCTCTCATTAATGTAGGAATTGTGTTCACAATCATAGCATAACTTATCAAGCCTAAATCACTAATAATAATTGTGCACATCAGACCTTTATAAGTCAACTTAATTTTTTTTGCACATTTCAGATGTGGAGCTAAACATGGTGTTACAATTGTAGTCTAACTTTTCTACCAGAATGATCATATGATCATAATTTATATGTTGTGATCAACATGCTAATGTTTTTCTCTGCTACCTAGTATGCAAATTTGATTTGTTTGCTGAAGAAATTCTAAATGTAGCTAAGCATACAACTAAAAGCTCTTCGATGAAACTATCTATGTGTGTCCAACACAAGAAGATACTGTTCCAGCACAGGTCCATGCTGAGACAATCCTGGTGCAGGGCAAGGGAGTGCCAACCGGCACAACCAGCATGTGCAAGCTTAAGTCCAAGTTAATTTTAAGCATCCTAAATCTCTTGGACTGATAAATCATGCCTCATAGTTTTAGCCATGTAGTTTTACATAAATCCAACTCTCCCATCAAGCAATATAAAATGAGTTTTATCTAGTTTTAACCATTCATTCTGAAGTTCTAATCCATTACTACTTCTTTTCATCGACATTCGTCTCTGTTGGCATGCAAAGGACATGGTATTATACATGTCCCTATATAAATTTCATGAGGTCTTGGTGCTCTGTTGACAGCATGCTGTTCTTAGTGGAGTCATTTGCATAGTAATAACATAAAGTGACACAAAAAGTCTTAAGAAATTGTTTTTCATCTTTGATTGATTGCAATTTTATTGGATGATTTATTACCTTCGATCAAGATATCGTGGTTGGATTCCAGAGCCTTGGCATGTAGTGCATGTTAATTTACCAACACCGTCACAGTTGATGCACTGTGAGACATCTGTATCACCACCTCCAAGCACTACAGTGATCTTACCACTTCCTGTGCAAAATCTGCATTGCTCTGAAAAAGCACCAATTCCATTAAATTTCTAATTCACTCGAAAAATATGAATAAAATACCAACAATTTGGACATTTTGAGAAATTAATAATCTATGTGTGCATCTCTTTATTAAATAAATATGTTGAGTTGCATTGTCAGCTAAACAGTTTTGCCTATGAACATTAATGAAAAATGATTTATTAACACATTTTTCACCTTATTCATTGCTGGTGTAAGAGATCAATGCAAGAATAAATATGAACAGCATATGACAGAGAACTTGCTCATGTTAGAGCAGCTGCATTGATCGAACACATTGATTTTTCAAACTTCTGTTTAAGAAGAAAGAAAATTGAAAGTTCACTAGAACATTTTGATCAATGAGTTATCAAACATTAATCCTCAGCTGCCACACATATAACAGACAGACAATCCAGCGATTGAGAAGAGAGAAAACACTGTGATTAAGGAGATTAGTCACCCCAACATCTATATGAAGAGGATGGACGAGTCTCAAGCCTGTAAGTGTCTCAGTTTGATGAAACCAATACTTCTATTGCGACAAAACATCTCTTTGGTTATCTATCCTACATCTCCCACTCAGCCCGGTGGGAATGAACTAAACTTATATCAGTACTATCATTAATTGAAGGTAGGTGATCAAGGAAACCATATATTCTACATTGCCTTGGCAAGTAACTATAATCAATATAGAATTTATCTGATGTACTATTGGTTTTGCTTGGATTTCAACATGGGAAGCAAGAATATCCCTTGGTGGAAGTCAATATAAGAACATACTATATTGTATCAAAAACATCAATAATTGAACCAGTTGAAGAAAACCTTTAACAAGTTAGAGATTTACATGTTCTTTTAAGGGGAAAAACTACAGACTTGTAGTGACTATAAGCAATTAAATGGAAGGAACTTTTAGAAGTCACTTGCTGGCATCATGGAAAGTAATATGCCAGAAACTTGCATTAAATCCTATTATTAGGTATCACTTTGCTTTACTAATTAATGCTACTTGGAAAGTATTCATGAATGATGAACCTTTACTAATTGGATGCTAGCCTTCCGCAGAGCCTTCCAAAATCGCAAGTTATACAGGTTCAATTGAGCATTTTATTATCAAACAAAATTCATAATCAGAAGTGTAACTTCCTTAGAGTCGACTATCATTCAATCCCCTAATGCAAGCATGACAAAATTGACTTGACAATCTTCAAATTGTCTCCTGAGCTTAACAAAATTCCCTTCAATTTTTTCATTTGTTTTCCATATGATTAGCAAAAGCACAAACAGAAAAGGCAACTGATGAAGATTAAATCTAGACACTAAGTCATCTCTACGCATAACTTCATCAATTTCTAAGCTCAGGATATGAGGCCTTACGAGCACCGGATCCGTTACACGGGAAGCAAGGCTGCGAATTCTCCCGCTTAGCCTGCATATGCAACAGAAAAGCTTCAGCACAACAGCATGCCGCCCACTCCACCAGATATCTGTAACGGAACTTACAGCATTGTCGATCTGAGTCTCGTAGAACACGGGGATACCGATGCCGACCGCAACGCTTACGACCCCCACGGAGATGGCGACAAGCTGAAACATAGAAACCGCTGTGTCAAAAGCCACCGGCCATCGTGCAGCCCTAGACGAAGCGGAGGAGGAGAAGAACGCACCGTGTTCTGGTCCAGGTCGAGTGCTCGGACGCGAGGGTACGAGGCGGGCAGGCGACGGCTTACCGGGAGTTTGCTGGAGAGGGAGAGCTTGGGATGGCGAGGAGAGGAGAGGAAGGAGGAGCGGAGGGTGGAAGCAGCGGGCGCCACGGCCATGGAGTCGTCGATGGAGAGCGAAAGGGTTCGGAGACGCAACCGCAGTGGCCTTGGTGGTCGTCTTGGATTTGTGGCCCTCGGCTTGGAGAAATGGATTCGAGCCACATGTTTTAGATGAGGATTTGGGCGCGCGCGTTGCATCACCAGAATCGAGGCCGTTAGAGTCAAAATTGGACCGCTTATGATCTAGTCCAAATATGACTGGCTTGATCGTAAACTCGGAGTATTGCACTTCCTGAAGTGACGCGTGGACGTTAATTACCGTGCTCCGTGTGATGACTACTATCCCTAAGTTGTACAGGTTTAAATAGACTTGTGGTTTATGAATCCCTTCGGAGATATATATATCTCCTCAAAATTATCACTATATTTTATTGTAGCGTATGTTCCACTAAACATGTATGATTGTTTGACACACACACACTTTTCTTTGGTACGAACTTTTCTGCTCTTGTTCAGCACATGTAAAGATCTCTTTTCTTCGATATTTGAGTCCGAATCAAACTGTGAAGATTTATCAGAGTTGGAAATTAGATGTTACCATATGTTAAATAGTAAGATAAACCCAAAAAAAATCCATTAATATTCTCTACAAATTCTCTGTTTTTACCATTCACAGTACAATTGCTTTGAAAAGAAAAAAGAAAAAGTACAGCCGAACACAATGTCCAACTCATTTATCCTAAAAGTTTCAAAAATAGATGTCAAATTTTCTCGCAAAGACGGGAAAAAAAAAATACTGCTTCTATCCGATTGATAAGAGATTAAAATTACATTAAATTGGGAGGGCTGCTGACGATCATCAAGCGTATGCAGAGATTAATAAAATAAAACAAAAGACAAATCATGTGGCTACATATTGCTTAATCAGGAAAGCAAACTCTAGCCCTTTTCTAAGCATGGTTCATAATCTTATTGCACAACTCAGTAATTTCAGATACCTGCACTACTGAGCCTCCAATAGCCAAACTATTGATGGTCCAAAGGTTCAGAAAAGAGAGGAAGCATTGGTGTAGGCAGACAGTAAGCTTTTCTTCTTTTCATCCTATTATATGATAAAGATCATCAGTAAATTTGCCGAATTTACACCTGATCTGTCTACCGAAGCAACTACAGTACTGAAGATAGATTATGACAGCGTTGATACATATACAATTATTCTTACACTGAACAACCTTCCATTCATTAGCAATACATCAATCTCACCAAGACTGTACATATGGGAAATTGGAGTTCAACATGCTTTACTCTGAAGTTGCTTATCAGCAAGGCTGTTCTTGAAGCTGCAAAATAATTTTTGTATAAACAATAGATACACCTAGCAGATACTGCCATCAAGTTATTTAACTGCAAAGTTACTCTTGAAACTGCAAAAGAATCGTGCTAAAAATAGTATATACACCAAAAGATCAGTAAGACAGAAGAATCAAGGTTCTGATATGGCAATCGTGCTAGTTTCCGACAACACCACTGGTGTGAAACTGCTAAAAGATAATATGCTGAAGGACACTTGATGGAAGCATTAAGTTTTTCTTTAGACCATTGAAAAAAAATGCGTCACAAATGCAGGGGTATATAGTTTAATAGGAATGAAGGAGAAGTGTCTCATTCTCATTCCTCTAGGACAAGTTGCCAAAGTATATATATAAGAGGGAAAACTCAAAATTCCTGTTGCTGCCACCTCTAAACTAAAGCCCGTGCAACATCTTTTATCTCATTGGGTTCTTTAACTGCCAAACGTGAAAGGGACTGGTTGATTCTTGATTTAATATGCATCTCTTTCACTTCAGTCTGTTGGGAGCTTGGGAAGAAAATTGGCCTCGAATGTTAGTCAAGGAACACACACACATGTTGAGGCAAATTTGGGTCGAGTAAAGGGTGTGGTCATGGGCATGAACCATTGGCCATAAATCATGGAGCTATGCAACATTTAGGTTTCTAGGATTGTTTTGATTTACATCCTTTCTTCTTCTTCTCCACTGCTGTAGTTTTTGTTTTTCAAATTTCTATCGCAACAGTGATGAGTCACCATCTCCCTCCCACTATATTATGTTCGCCTCAGAGAGAATGCTTGGTAATGTTCTTGAGGTGGGATGTACTATGATACTTGCAAGAGGGACATGAAGAGATCATCTTCTGGATATATTGGATCCAGTTTTCTAGTATTATTTTCTGTTACACAAGTATATAGTATTAACATAATGTTCTACTTTAGAAATGGCAGCAGCAAGTTACCTATCCTAAATCTTGATGCCTTCTTAATGAGATATTAAAATCAGAAAGCTTTAAGGTTTACCTTCATGCTTCACTTGGCTCTGGGAGTGTAATCAATCGTGAATTTGAATCATACACCAATGCTGTGCCACAGCTGATACATAAAATCAGTGTTATTAATAAAATCAAGTAAATGAGAAAACCTCCTAGTGTCAGACATAAGTTCTGGACAAAACTACAAGTTAAACTCACTTTGAGCATTTGACTGTGTTTGTGGAACCACCACTAGGCACTGATAATAGAGTCCCAAAGAAAGAAACGTTTTCTGTACCACAGTTTGGGCAAGCACCCTATGTATAGAATTATAGAGTTTAGTTTCATGATAGAATTGATAATTATTCAAAACTCTTAAAAACTGACGAGCATAGTGATGATAGATGTACCTTCAAGATGAGAAAATCTTTCACGATGGCATTTGTGATTGCTTGTGATAACACAAATATTAGTGGTAAAGCAGCAAACCACGTAAAGATGAAACCATAGGGCTCTGGCAACTGCATCATGACAATAAGAAAAAGGACAAAAAGCTGCTAAGACTTTATCTAATGTTTGCTCAAAATAATTAATGGTTTAAGTGAAGATTCTCCAGGATGATTACATGGTGTCCGAGTGACTTATGATTGTGCATGGACCAGTATTATAAATTACTAAAGCCATTTGAGAGCACAGCAGAAAATATATATTTTTTATGATCAATCAAGATGAATAGAAGCTCAAAAATAATAACTCAAGCAATCAAAATCAAAAGAAAGATTAATTGTGCCAGTTTTGAGATGATTCAATTAATTTAAATGTTAAAATCCATGTAATTGTTTTGAAGTGATATTGTCTTAAAAATGAGATACACATATAACAACACTATATTTATATCAAAAAGTCCAAAATAATTATAATTATATGGAATTTAATAAAAAAGACTAGAGGGCCATTATATATATGTGTGTGTGTCCAAACAAAAGATGTTGGGATCAACGAGGGCTCAAGTGCTTGACTAAGAGTGTATAGCAACTTATTGTATAATCATAGTGGTATCATAGACTAGGCCACCTTTTTTCTTCAGCAATTTGTCACCACACACGATGATGATGTGCTCTGGGATACCAAAGAGTCTCCAGTCTCACCATTTTTATATTAGCAGTTCTAAAATCTTTGGACAGAGTTCGCAAGTATGGCATGCTATTTAGATCAGTTCGCAAAATAGACATTAAGTCACATCAGCAGGTTGTCTTCCTAAGCTTGTGTGTAATGTTCCACCAAAAAGACACATCGAAGGCATGGAGGATATTTACCTCTAAAAGATATGTGATTTCAAAGCCTGTCAAATCATCTAAAAAGAAAAACCTGTTTGAACAAAAGTAGACAAGTTAGAAGTACCATTGCAGGCACCTGGTAAGTAAAGTATTACTACTGGTTCTTGATAATTATAAATTTGTGTCAGGTTTATGTTTGAAACAATGATATATCATGCTGTATTTGTTAAATCTTATACATTTCAGGTTGAAATGCAACATAAATCAGAGGATGTATTTTTCCACAAGCAACACAAGCCAATATTGATTCTGTTCTTTTTACATGTGTTCCTGTTTGAAACATATGCTAAGATCTCTTTTCTATTTTTTTCTTCTTTATGATAGTAAGGTATTAAAGATGCCTTAAAATGTCCTAAAACTCTTGCTATCATCTCAAAGTTTTGAAAGTGTAGCAATGTCAATTAAAAGTTCAACATCTCTACTCTAACAATCAAGTTAAAGTCAATTGATGGCGATTATCTACGAGTGCATATATGTACTTTTTATGTATGCAAAGATATAAGCTAAAGTTAAACTTAGAAGGATAAATATGAAATAACAAACTTTAAAGGAATTATATTCATTTTTTGTCTTTAAAGAAATAATTGCAATGCAAAAGTTTGATTAAGTTAAAATAATAAATGCATGAAAGATAACAGAATACAAATTATGACAATCATATAAAAATAATATCTTCAAGCACTTTCGAGATATGGGTACACTCAGTTATTATAAACTGACATACACTATGTGGACAGTTATCACTCACAGTGTAAGAGCAATAACAGCTGCAGGAACATTCAGCAGGAACATCTTGAAGTAGTCAACACTCAAGTCACTATAAACCTGCACAAATAACAAGATATATCCTTCATGAAATTTATTCACTGCTAGTTAACAGTGAAGATCACAAACCACTATAAATCTAGCTGATCTCAACATTTCTGAGCCCAACACCATTTCTCTAGGTTGTCCATTGCATATTGTACAATAATTTAGATATTAGCAGTAAAAATCTTATTTGTTATCTTCTTATTATATCTTATTTGATAGTTCAATGGAGGACCAAAAGCTGTCTTCCTCAACTATTTGATGGTCCTCGAAAGGCTAGATGCAAGAAAAGAGAATTCTGTAGCAAGGATAAAATTACTTCCACCACTAATTCTCTTTTCCACCAAATTAATTTCAAGGCAGCATATATAACCAATTAACCACAACTACTTTATAAATGCTAACTGCATATGATCATTAAAATTGATGTATTTCAACTTAATAGCAATCATCGATGTCTAAGGTTGTTCTTCTTAATTATAACCCATTAGAACTCCAGTTTTCCCTTGAATGAAATCATAAGCAAAATAGCTATTCTTTTATACAATTTCTTTAAAAGATGTTGCAGCTACACAATCCTTTATAGAACAAACTACCACCTCTGGTGGATTGTTAATCAACATTGAATGCATGGTTCAGAATCTCACTGTGACTTTGTATATACCAAGTGGTACTGGCATATGAGCCAGTGCTTTTCACCTAGTCTGGTCCAGTTTGTAGGTTACTACTCAATAACT